ACCCACCCCTGAAGATCCCAGGTGGGCGAGGGAATAGTCAGAGGGATCACAATCTTTCAGCTAATTTATTTTATTCGGTGAGTATAAGTAATAATAAGCCATTTGCTGTGATAAGCTTGAATGCATTTCTTGCCTCAAGCCTCTTAGTAATGGAAGTTACCCCTTCTCCAAAATGAATTGGAAATAACTTTGCATTTATTATTGCTACAGGATAATCGGCTGAATGTAACAGAAGAACTAACATCTAATAACAGGACAAGAATTCTGAATGTCCAGTCAAGGCTTACAGATGCCAAACACATTAGTTGGAGAGCAGTGCTGAACAACAACAACCTCTATATAGAAATTCCCAGTGGTGCTCTGCCTGAAGGGAGCAAAGACAGGTGGGTAGAATAAAATGCAGCTGGGGTTTAACTTGCCACTGGCTGGAAGGCCTATCAGTAGGGTGGAATAAGACTTTACTGTTGCCGATGTTCGCTTCTGTTGTTCTGAAAGTTGAAGTCTAATTATGGTGCTTGGTGCTCTCTTGTAAGAGACTGCAACTAAGTAATCCTGGTTTGAGGGCTGCTTCTGCCTGTCTTCTTGGGCAGAACCACGCAAAAGGTCTGTGATTTCAAGCTGCCTTCCCAGGTACTGGGTGGCTGCTCTTACCCACTGAAAACGCCAGCTTGGTTCTGAGTCTATCACAGCCGTTCTCCCTCAGCTGCAACACAAAAAGCATGTTTTCTGTGTTACTGAAAACTTAGATTTCTGCCCTCAAATTAAACCTGGGGCTCAGGGATCTCCCGTTGGTGTGAGTCTCCAGCCCTAACCTCTTAGGGCTATGAATTCATGTGCAGATTGGCTCACAGGGCCTTGCTAACTATCTGTGAAGGAGGTGCTTGCTTGTGTGCATTGAAAGCCTTGTATTTGTCTTGTAGTTTTGCAGTTCTTCTAGAGTTTGCCGAAGAACAGCTTCGAGCTGATCATGTGTTCATTTGTTTCCACAAGAACAGAGATGATAGAGGTAGGTGTTAACTCATAGTGCTGTCTCTGGATTATTTCAAGTGGATGCTTTAACTGTTGCACAATATCAAATGGTTGAAACTTTTGTTTTCTTCTTTTTTTTTATTTCTAGCTGCATTGCTCCGTACTTTCAGCTTTTTGGGCTTTGAGATTGTGAGACCAGGGCATCCCCTTGTCCCCAAGAGACCAGATGCTTGCTTCATGGCCTACACATTTGAGAGAGACTCATCAGAAGAAGAATAGATTGCAATGTTTGCCTCTTAGAGCTTTCTTGTTGTCTATAAAGATGATTCTGTAGAAATTTTGTCAACATCTATTACAGTATATATAACTCCGTATGAAATGTTGTGATCAACTGCTCTGGTGGCGAGATGTTGAAAATTTCAGACTCCACATCTTTTTGTGGATTTGTGCGCATGTTGTGGTTGTGCAAATAAATGCTCCCTCCAAATTAGCAGTATATTTCTTGAAGTTTAATATTGTGTTTGTGATACTGAAGTATTTGCTTTAATTCTAAATAAAAATTTATATTTTACTTTTTATTGCTGTTTAAGCTGTTTAAGACTTGCACTCTGAAGAGATGGCTCTGGAACTGCCCCAACTATTAAAGCTGCAGGTATGGAAAGGTGTTGGTCATTCTTTGCTTGACTGGAGCTCATGGCTGTCATCTGTCAGGACTCGAAAAAAATCTAGCAATCCTGTAAAAGCCTGATTTTAGTGAAATAATCAGGTTGTTCATGTCCACTGGTAATTAGGATCACTGCATCCCTGCTCCATTGGTGTTTTGTGGGATACTTCAGGGCATGTGTTAGATGGAAAGTCAAAAGTGAAATGCTGAGAAGCTCAACTCACGGCTGCCGTGAGCTTCAACTGGCTGTGAGTATTAAATAGGCAACTTTGATACCTGCAGTCTCCATGTAACCAGTAACGGTGGAGTCTCACACCAGCGTGTGTGGAGCCTGCAGGATGGCTTGGCGAGTTCTTTGGCTGTGATCTAGAAAGGCTTGTGGCGCTTGCATAGCTAAATACTGTCATCGAGGCTGGGCAGGCTCCAGAACTCTTGGGGAGACAGATTGTGGTTGGAAGTTGAAGGAGAAGGGGCTGTTGTCAAGCAGTGCCTGTTGTTGGGGTCTGCAGACATCTGTTTGTGTTTAGAATACTGAACAAAAGGGAAAATGGCTGCTTGTGTAGTGCTAGAATTAACAAAACTTGGGCTGAAGTTACCAGAGGTAAGTCTCCAAAGGGCTGGGTTTTAAAGCATTGTATTTAATTTTTTTTAATAGTTAACACTTGCAACTCTGGAGGCTTGTTTGGCACCATTTGAGCTGATTAATCTTTCTTCTATAAGACGCTGGAGCAGCGTGTCCCTGGGATGGGTTATTTTACCAGGTTATTAAGCTGTGAGTCTGTGAAATAGAAGCACATGATCTTTGTGAGTGTGTGCTCTGCCAGGGGCCTGACCTCCCCCCTGAGCTTGGCTGTAGGATCTTCGGTACGTTGTGAAACGTGTAAGTGAGGGGACCTAAGGGTCACCCCACAGATCCTCCCTAGGCAGATGTTCTGGGCTGAGCAGTAGCGGAATCGCTTGGAATGCACCAAAATGTAATCCCTGAATCTCCCTTCTGGGAGATGCAGCAGGGAGCAGATCCCCATAGCAGGATCTGCAGCAGAAAGTAACCCAGAGGGATGGCACCGTGTTCCCAGAGAGCCTGTTGCTAAATCAGCAACACAGAGAAAAATGTTCCTGATGGTCTGTTTAATTGGCTTTAGGTATTTATACCAGCCTCTCACCGACGCTTGCCCCAGTTTGGACTGCTCCTTGGGTCCCAGCGTCCAGTGCTGCAGTCCAGTGAATGGGAGAGGTCTCCTTCCCACAGGTCTCTTGCCAATTTTTTTTTGTGGTCGTACAATTATGCTCTTCCTGTGGGTTTTTTTGAAAGCTGTGAACTTGCTGTTCTTGGTGTGCTGAAGGCCAGCAAAGAGGAGGTAGAGGAGGACTGGGGGAAGGGTGTTCCTCCTTTACTCAACAGGCTGGCAAAGATCTGAAGTTCATAACCTGATGCTCTGGAGAAATTCTTGTTTTCCTCTGTGATGCTGTGCCTGTGCTGCAGTCTGCTTTCCACAGGGATGCGAGTGTGGAGATGTACGTCATCCTACCTTGAAGGCTGTGGTCCCCGGTAGACATTTTGCTGATGCTGGGTGCTTCAAGTTGCCCCTGGCAGAAGGGGAGGGGATCACCCAAGGTGCAAACCAGAAGCAGGGGTGCAGGGGGTGCTCGGAGTGGCCTGCAGGCGCGGGCAGAAGCAGGTTTTATCTTTGTTTTTCCAGGATCGGATGCCCAAGGTGGCTTTGGGCGAGCTGCTGCTGTGCCACGGGCTTTACTGCCATCTTGTAGCCTTGTGAGATACTACAGGAGAGGCGGTGGGGACAGCGGGGACCACCGCTCCTGCATGTTTGTGGCCCAAAAGCCCATACTGAAATTTGAACAACATTTCTGTGGACCAGCTGTGCTTGGGTGGTGACCGAGTCAGGGTTGATGTGGCCAGGGAGCTTGTTTGGTCCCCGCTTGCTCATCCAGCCTTGTTGGGGAGGCTGCCGTGCCTGGTTTGGGTGCTGCTCCGGGAAGGAATAGTCCCCCACTGTGCACAGAGCCTCTCCCAAAGGGGCTGTGGTCTTGGCTGGGTTTTTGACCCTGCTGCAGCCCAGATGATGAGGCTGGTGCCGGCCCACGCTCAGCGGGCAGGGTCAGCGGGCAGGGCAGGGCAGGAGGCAGAAACCCACTGACTGGGGGAGCTGGGGGTGTGCTGCCCTGGGGTTTCATCTCGAGGGGGAGTGGGTCACACCTCTGGTTCACTAGGGTTTGTGTTTTGTTTTTTTTTCTCTTGAGCTCAGGGACTCCTCGGAGGAATCTTTCCCCATCCAGCCATGCTACGGGCTCTGGTGCCTGCCTGGTGTGCCGGTGCCCATGTCTGTGTGCCCCAGCGGTAGCTGCAGCGAAGGCCGGGATGATCCGTCCCTCTGTGCACAGCCCACGGAGGCTGCTCTTGCTGCTGTCAGGTGACAACCGTCAGTGGATTAATAATTACTTAATGATAATTTCAATGACCTGAGTGATGCTTTGCATGGCGCTTCACTGTGATGGTCGCTCAGCATCCGCATGGGTTTGAGGACCAAATCCCACGTGGTGCTGCGTGTTTCATAGCAAGCAGCAGATGCAACGGCCCTGCCTTGGTGCAGCCAGAGACCGACCTTGCAGCCTGGTCCCCGGGTGCGAGCAGCCGTAAACTGACCCGAGCTATTTACTAGACGCCATCGAGGCTGTTCTAGCTAATCACCGCCGGGCAGTGAAGTTTGGCTTTGTATTTCTCTCTGGACACATCACTGGGGCGTGTAATGCTGTCGAAGAAGCACATAAAGGACCAGTATTTAAGAGGCTCAGCTCTGGGTTTTATTGAAGCTGTGTGGCTGCTGTATTTCCCCCTTTAAAATGTCATTTATATTTGTGAGTATGCCACAAATTGTTTCCAAAAAGAGCAGGCCGTATGAGGTATTGTATCTCTCCTTTGCTAACCGTGCATTAAGGTGAGCTGTAATGTGTGGCTTTGCGTTGTTATTTTAAACAGTGAAAGCCTCATGGCTGCAGGAAGGGTCTGAGGGGGTTTTGTGGAAAGTCTAAGCCCCATAAACTTTACTCGGGATAATCAGCCACTAAATTGGTGCTTGATCCAGCTGTCTTTCCTGAGATGCTCCGATCAACTGAACTCACAGTACCAGACAAACGCTGGTCGAGGGTATAAAAACACACCCTGTGTTGTGGGAGTTTGCTCCCAGCTTCATCATTTGTGTGCTGTGGGGGAAGCGGGTTCGGGTTTGCAAAGAGAATTTTCCCTGCCAAGACCAGTTTGGGTTCCTTGTGAGCTGGTGGATTTGGTCAGGTCCTCATGGGCTCTTGGTTTTGAGGAGACCTTTTGGGTGGGCTGAACTTCAGCTTGCCTTTAGGGAGTGTAGAGAGCCTGGGTGACTTGGTAGAGCGTGTGCTCGGTGACCTCCTTGAAGTACTGGCAGCACAGCCACTCCTCGAGGCCGGGGCTCCCCACCGCCCCAACTGAATTCTCTGCAAACCTGAGGAGCAGCAAAGCCCTCTTCATCTCCACCCAGCTCCGGAGCAGGGTGAGGGTCTTCTTGCTCCTGGCAAACAGTTCTTGGCGAGGTCCCCAGAGCAGGACCTGCAGGATGCTCCTTGCCTGCTCAATGGAGACCCTCTTGCATGGGTCTCTGTGGAGAAGCAGCATGGCCAGATGCTTGAGTCCTGTGGAATAGATGGACAGGGAGGGAATTTCGGGAAGTCTATTGCTTCTGAACCCCAAGGCGTTCTCCAGAGAGATGTCCACGTGCAAGATCTGATAGATCAGCATGCCTACATTCAGTTCATCGGCCAGCGGGGAAGGCGGTGCAGCGAGCCCCTTGGTCCAGTCCTGCTCTTGGCTGGTAGAACAAGGTCTTCGCTTGTCTTTAACCCTGAAGCTGCTGATGAGCAGCCTTGGGAGGGACAGCCCCAGGGGTGCCTCCTTGCCTTGCTGGCTCCGGGGAGGACACGGGCACTGCACCAGCAGTAGGTTCTCGGGGCAGAGATCCCCCTGCCCCACGTCCTGCACCCGGAGATGCTCCAGCCCCATGCAGACCTGCAGGAGGAGGAGGCAAGCCAGGCGTTCGTAGTGCCCAGGGCTGGTCCTGTGCAAACCGTAGGATCCCTTCACAAAGCCTGCCAGGGTCTGGTAGGGAACCTCAGGAGAAATGAAGACAGGGTGGGTGGTGAGATGGGCTGGCTTCTCTCTGGAATGGGATTGACTCTGCTCCCCAGGGCTTTCTGGGAGCACCAGCTCCCGAGGGAGGCGGTCGGTGAAGCGGCCGATCAGGCGTTGGATGCTGCAGTGCATCCCAAGGGAGCTCTGCACACCCAGGCCGGTGCAGCACAGCTTGGGGACCTGCAAGGAGAGACAGGGCACAGCCGGTTGCATGAGGACAGAGCCATGGGGTGCCTTGTCCTAGGCCAGGCTACGGCCTTAGCTTAGGGCCACCAGCCCTGGCCCAACCCACGCATGGTGCTGGGCTCCCCCCACACCCTCCAAACCCACTGGCACCCACCAGAATGGCTTTGGGCAAGAAAGGGGAAAGGAAAAGGGGGGTGTAACCTCCAGGTGAGCTGCAAAGCTGCTTTGATGGGTCTCATCCTGCACTGCCCGAGGAGCCAGCTCTGCTCCAGCCTCTACTTTGCACCCGCTGGCCCCTTGAGACCGCTTGCCAGGGCGTCACCCCCAGAGATGCCATTCTCCTTGACGTGTCCTTTGGCCCCACGGCAGCTGTCACCCTCGCCTCCCCTGCCCACGTCAGCAGTGCCCTCTCATTTAGCAAATGCAGAAGTAGATGCAAAAAGGGGAAGCGCCTGCGTGAGCGGGGTCAGCGGAAAAACCAAAGCTCCTGGTTCATGCTCGCCTGCAGCACCGCAGCCCCCTGTACCGCAGGAGCCGGCTCCCTCTGCACCACCCGGGGCATTTTCCCCAATTCCCTGCTTACCTTGGCTGCAAACACCAACTGGGTTTGCTCAAAAGCGAAGCCCACTCGGAAATACCAGGCATCCCCGCTTTCGCAGCACGGTTCCCGCTCCAGGATGCTGAGCGCTGCCCAGCTCTTCCCTGCCAGCTCTGCCTCCAGCAGCTGCTGCCGCTCCTCCGGCCCCATCAGCTCCTCCTGGATACGAGCCGAGAGCCGGGCCAGGGTGGCTGCCTGGCACCCCAAAACCACCCCGCACACCCTGGCTGGGCTCTCCAGGAGCTGCAGGAGCTGCCCCAGCTCCCCATCCGCTGTCCCGAACGTCAGCTCCGCCGGACTGGGTGATGGGGCTTTTTGTGGGCTGCTCCGGGCCACCAGTTCCACCAGGCTTTGGGACTTGCTCAGGGGCTTCTTGGCTCCCCAGGAGGGGCTGTCCCATGGG